AAAGTGAACAAGAAAGAATGAATATCAAAATTGCATGAGACCCTTGATAATTGCAATAAAATTAATCGATATCATCAATTGGTCGATATCAATGGCATAATCCCTTTATTTAATAGAAATTACAAAATAATAAATAAAATCCAGAAAACATTACAAACCCACTTTCAAAATAATTTTTTGAAGGCTAGATACACGTTTGAACTGATTACTGCGACAGTTCTGTGACAATATAACGCTCAACATCTGACAGAATTGCGATTATTGTGATTTTGAAAACTTACTAATTTTTAAATAAGACGACTTTTATCCGTATTTCTCCTATTCTATTTACTAAAATTAAACTATGAAGTGGTGCTAAATTGACAATAAGTAAACTTGAGAATTGATATGATAATGCACAGTTTTTCATACCAAAATCTTTTCCACAATCAAGTTGGAAGCACTTAAACCTGCCTATTTAAAGATCTAATAATAAATTTAAAAAGAAAAAATCAAATATTATTTACGATAAAAAATGGAAATGACTCTACTGACAAGCAATTAAAAGTAAAAGCAAAAGGGACTCTACTGACTCTACTGACTAGAAAACTAAAAATTAAATAAAAGGGATTCTACTGACAGTCCAACTTAAAATGAAGGAAAATGAACTCGAGTGACAAATAAATTATATATGAAAAAAAGGGACTCTACTAATGACCAAACTAAAAAGAAAGAAAACTAAAAATGAATGCGATATATTAAAAAATTTATTGATTACATATAATAACAATAACATATAATCGTCAACTTTGCATATTTTTTCTATAAAGCTATAAAATATCAACTTACGTCTGATCCTGACAACCGGTCTCCTTTGCGCTCCAACTGCGTGCGGTTTGTCCAGGATAAGTTCTATTCTCGGAGGCGGCGGCAACTGCAATAGTTTCAAGTAATACAAATAACAAGTTAAATTGCGACAACTATGAACTAACTTAATCCTCCAAAACTTAAGCTATTAATATTCCTGTCAAGTCACAAAGTTTAAGATGCATAAAATAATAAGAATTATAAAGTTTCGTGACTTTAAAACACATTGCAAAAACCTTGGTGATCATTGAGATTAATGTAAGAAAGCATAATTTTTATGTTTGTGATAATTCAGGATTGTATTTTCATAAGTATTGTTCGTCTTCTGAATTTTTTTTAAATTTAAGAAGTTAGAATAATTCAAATTATACAAAAAGTTAAAAATATTAATATCTTGAAAATTGTTATGGAGGTTTCCCAAAAATTATGAATAATATTGTAATTGTCATTTATTGGAACAAATCCATTTTTTAGGTTTTTTTCTATAATTGTCAATAGACATTGAGTAAAATATAGAGCGAGTATATGCCAAATAATATAATTCAATCCTACAAATTGAGTGGATGAGTCTTAGATTTATATATAACTTTCATATATATTTTTTTAGTTCTGGTACGGCTAAAATTTCTTCTAAAGAAAACCTGGAGACTATGTGGAGTGCCAAAACAGTTGTTCGATCGATGTTCTTCTAAAACAGTGATTACCAAAGTTATTCCTATAAACCCTCGGGGTCCAGGACCACTTTCAGTTGGTTCACTTCAGCAAAAATAAAATTTGGGGTACACACTAATGGATAACAACACACTATAATAATAAATATTTACTTACGTTATACGATATTATAATATATAGAGACTTATAATAGACGTTATAATATAGTAAGCATGTGTATATAAGAACAAAATATACGTAATATGTAATGTGAATGAATACAATAATTTGTCCACGATTTCGGGCGCACGGATCAAAATTCAAATGATTTGAATGATTCAAAAAACATTACGTTCCTATACGGAAATACGGAGCAAAAAGTGCAAAAATTGGGAATTCAGTTTTTGCGAGAACCGAACATCCGATTAGATTGATTCATTCGATTCGTGTTAACGGCGAGTTGTACTTGTTAGTTTTTTGGTAACAACAGAAGTCTACTCGTTTGGAAAATACAAAGCAAAAAGTGCTAAAAGATACAGTTTTTGAGAAAAAAGGAGCATCCGATTCGAATGATTCAAAAAACATATTGCTTTTTGTGTTGACAAAAATAATTTGATAATAATTATAGCTATTCTAATTCTAAAACTCACTAACTACTCGAAATGAAGAAATTAGCTCTGAAATTTTTAGAAATATAGAATAAGGTCTTTCATTTATGCAGAAAATTATAAGCTCTTATATTTAGTCTACAATAAGAGTTCCAGTATTTATAATAATCTATTTAAAACGTATATACATATTTTACGGAAAATTAATAAAAGTTGCATTATTTATAATAATCTATTTGGAAATATTTAAAATTCCTAGAATATCTCATGACGGTACGAAAAGTTCTAGCAATTTGCATTTAGGCACGACACCATGCACTACTCAATTTTGATAGTATCAATATTCTAAATTTCCAGAGCAAAAAACAAATTTGAACATGTTTGATAAAAAAAAAACGGTGATGATGGAAACTATCGGCAAAGCTTCCAAACAGTAATGTTTAAAATTTTACAAAGAGAACTTTAATTAATAAAGGTCTGATAATGATTAAATCGTGTTTCTGCCCAGGGCATTAAGTGGCACGTGGTTTTCTGCTTGAACAAACCTTCAATATAACTAATTAAACATGTACATATACGGTATTGTTGCGAAGTTTAAACTCGGCGAGATACTCATTTTCCACAATAGGAATTATATCACGCCGTAACAAACACGTATACTTTGCTATTTGTATGAAAAGCTCAGGATTAAATTGTCAATCTATTTAATTAATTGCGTAATTAATAACTGTGAATAGTGATATAAACGCAATTTATTATAAGCTTTGTAAATTAATTGGCTTATGCAACGTGCTCATTATAATTAATTTGTTAATTGTTTATTGGAGATGTATCAAAATAATTGCTCGTAGAGTTATAGAATAATATAACGTTATAGAATATAAAAAAAATATTTTTCGAGAAGATTTTTTTTAACTTCTCTAAGGATATAAACATATCCTTAGAGAAGTTAAAAAAAAATCAAAGTTTTCGTCAAAAAAGTCTATATGCTGATTTTATGTTTTCTCGATGTTTCAAGCCATTCTGAGCCGAATGACACCATATTTGGAAAAAGTATATGTGTGTGGGTGTGAATCTGTGTGTGAACAGATTTTTGACCTTTCGTCGACGTTTTCTCAAAAACAAAAACAAATTTGATAGTCGTTCGATGTAACTCGATAAGGATTAGCATTTGTCAGTTTTGCGCGACGATCAGCCGAGCCGTTTTTATAAGACTATGGTATGTACCGTCAAAAAAAAGCCATAAAAATCGTCGAAAAAAAAGTTTACAAATATCTGTTCACATACACACACATACTTTTTCCAAATTTGGTCTCACTCGATTTAGAATGGCTTGAAACATCGAGAAAACATAAAATTAGCGAATCGGATTTTTTGATGAAAACAAACTTCTCCTTGGGGAAATCAAGAAGACAAAAGATATAAGTTCAATAAGAAAAAATGGCACAAGAATTAGAAGTCAATGAAGAAGTTAATAAGTAAGCCAAATAGATTATTATATAAGCCGAAGTAATTAGATATCGATTTAGAATGACAGTAGTTTTTGAGTTGGGCTTGGCAAATTAATCTGTAATACTACAAAATCTTGTAACCAGTTGTATGAAATCAACAGTAAATTTATTAATTGATATTATTAAGCGAAAAATTTGATCATGAGCTGGATCAGAAATTATTAGCCGCAAAATAAAAAAAATTAGGTGCTTGCTTTAACAAATTTGAATAATATTGCAACTGAATGAACTGAATTGAATAATATTATAATTAAATAATATTGCAACTGCATGCATATTCAAACCTGTTTGAACACACACTTTTAAAAAGTTGTACGAAAAGAATAAATGATTCAATAACGACATTTGAAAAATCTTTAGAATTGATTAAGATGTTTAAAATAATTGGAGGTTAGGTTGAAACAAAATAGCACATTTCATTGTAGCATAAATTTTTATATTTTATATTTTTTGTCAGTTTTCCATCTAAGCTCCTTGGGTCGTGTCTAACTTTATTTCTCGCCCAACAAACTGCTTCATATGCAATATGAGTATAATCGTTTTTGTTTTAAAAAAGTGGAAAATAGCTTTTTACCCTTTTCATCTTCACAATTTAATCCTTCAACTTTATTGCAGAACTCTCGAAACAGTTTTTGACGATCTTTTATATAGCATACAGTGAAATGCAAATGCAATGGAAATTTCATTTTTAGTTTGAGTTTTAAAATGCATCGCAGAATAATTTTTTGATTTTTCCGTAGATGATAATTAACTTAAATTAAATGGTTGATATCTGAGAGAATTTATAACTAGTATTATCTATACAGTGATTGTAAAATTAATAAATTCAACATATTTGCATTTTTATTCATAGTTTTTATATACACTTGCCGGGCTGAAATTTTCGTAAAGGAGTTTTTTTCCTCGTAAACAAAAACTTCAAACTAACAAATTTTCTTAGAATTCCTATGATTCTGATAGAACTTTACCTGCTGTAGAGATGAAGGAAATACTGTTTGACAATTAATTCTAATTAAAATTGAATAAAGCATTAGCATTTACTGCACGTCAAAAATATTTTCTGGTTTAAATTTTCTGATTGATGTTGCTAAGTTATGAATTTAATGAAAAAATAAGAGTAGTTATTTAAGTAATCACTTACCGTTTTTGCAATAGCTTCTATCCATTCGCTGCATGTTTCAGAAATAAATTATTAGACAATGCTTACATACATAGTATATATATATACTAGCTGAACCGACAAAAGTTCTGCCATAATTAACTTCCCGAAGGAGAAGTTTATGTTTTCATCAAAAAATTCGATTCGCTAATTTTATGTTTTCTCGACGTTTTAAGCCATTCTGAATCGAATGAGACCAAATTTGGAAAAAGTATGTGTGTGTGTGTGTGTGTGTGTGTGTGTATGTGTATGTGAACAGATTTTTTGCCGTAAATCGACGTTTTCTCGAAAACGGCTGGGTCGATTTCAAAAATTTAAAAGCCATTTGATGTATCTCGACGAGAACTATTGTTTGTCAGTTTTGTGCGACGATCGGCCAAGCCGTTTCTTCATAAATGGCAGAAAAGTGAAAAATTTTTCGTCTACGTTTTAGCCCGCAATTCTGAATCGATTTTGAAAATTCAAAAACCGTTCGAAAGATATTAGTTGGGAATCGTGCTGATTAGTTTTTGGTAGAGATCGGCCGGGCCGTTTTCTTGTAATAAAGTTTTCAAAAAAAAAAATTTCGACGATTTTTATGATTATTTTTTTGGCGATAGATACCATAGTCTTCTTAGATCATACTAAAATATTACGGCCCTACGACAACTGGTTCAGCTTTAAAAATTCGTCAAAGTTTGCAAAAATCAGTATGGTCTTTTTGGCATTTGTCAAAATTAGACTTTTGATCGACGTTTTCTTAAAAACGCCTTAACCGATTTTAGAAATTTAAAAGCCATTTGATGTACTTCGGTGAGGATTATCGTTTGTCAGTTTTGTGCAACGATCTGTCAAGCCGTTTCTTTGTAATTTGAAAAAAAAGTGTTAAACTTTTCGTCCACATTTAAGCTCATCCTACCGAACCGATTTTAAAAAATCAAAAATTGTTCGAAAGATAATAGTTGGGAATGGTACTGATTAATTTTAGGTGAAAATCTATCGAGCCGTTTTCTTGTAATTAACTGTTGAAAAAAAGTGTTAAATTTTCGTCGACATTTAAGCTCATCCTACCGAACCGATTTTAAAAAATCAAAAATTGGTCGAAAGATATTAGTTGGGAATGGTACTGATTAATTTTAGGTGAAAATCTACCGAGCCGTTTTTTTGTAATTACCTGTTGAAAAAAAATTTAAGCCGATTTTCAAGGAAATTTTTTTGGCGATATACATCATGGTCTTATAGAACTTACTGTAATATTGCGGCCTTACGACAAATAGTTTAATCTTAAAAATTCGTCAAACTTTGCTAAAATTATTATCGTTTTTTTTAAAGTAGGATTAATGAAGTATATTATTTACACATTTTTTTGATTAAGTCGATTATTTACACATATCGGGAAGTTCATGTAACTTGCCTCAAGGCTAAATACCAAACCAACTAGTTTCTAGTATAAAATGTGTAGGTGGAAGGTACAGCTTATAATAATATGTGAATGGTTTACCTATTGCAAAGCACGCCACATATAAATGTTTTGAGCCATTTGATTTGGCACATTTGAAGTTTCGAGATATTGATATATTATCACCGCAATTTTCATTAATTTATTAATTTTTGAATTACAAAGCCACATATTGTTATGTGGTATGCCCAGCCAATTGACCGAGTTTGCAAAAAATTGATTGAGTGGAAAATTATACAGCTTTGCCATAGCTTTGTATGGTACCTAGGTTCCCTATCAAAAACTGTTGTATCTTCAGATTTTATTATTTAATCTCCCTATTTTTTGCAAAAATTGCTCTTTATTCTAACTATTTAGAAACTATGTACTGGTTGCGTGCATCGGGAAATATTTGTACAGTGGAAAAATGGGAGGGATGGACAACCTTTGTAAAAAGAGTTGCAAGTATTTATCAATTCCACATTAAAACAATTAAATTAAAGAAAATTGATTCCAAAATTAAAAAAAAACATCAGGGTTGGACAACCCTTAATAAAAATAAATTATTTTTTAAAGTAAGGTTTTATTTTTCGTTTAATTTTAAAAATCAGAACTAAAATCATGTCAAAAATATTCAATGACTGAACGCGGTATAGAAAATTATTGAATTACTAAAATACTACCAAAAAAATTCATCCAAAAATTAAAAACAATATTTTAGGATAAACCATCTTTATTATTTGGGGTTATAAAAATAGATAGTAACCGTTTCTCAGAATTACTGAATACGGATATAAAATTCTGTAAAAAAATCAATAAAAATCGACAAAACCACTTCGGAGAACTTTTTAGACATAAAAACTTATTATGTATATTATTATTTATTTATGTGTATTATAAATACATTAATTATATTTCTATGAAACGGAAAAAACGTTAAACATGTGTATATGGACTCAAAGATATCGCTTTTTCGAATTTTTTGATTTCAATAAGTTAATATAATTTTTATTTAGGTACATTTATATTTTTCAGAAAAGTAGTATGTTTTATGTATCAATGCAATGATTTTTATATACAAACATAAAATTTAATTCAATTTATAAAATATCAATACCAAATTTTGTTTGTTTTGTATGACAATTTTTCCTTAAGTTTTATATCATCTCAGATAAAAGTTCTATAAGTAATGTTTTACAATAGAAAAATATTTCACTATAAAACTTTTTTAATAGAATTCAATGTTATATTGTTCGCTTTAATTTTCAACATGTACTTTATTTTCATATTTTATTATTTTCTGTTAGTTGAAAATATGCAGAATTATGGTTGTATCATAAAATGTTTTACGTAGATGAAAGTTTTAATTGAAGCGGCATACTTTTACGATGATCATCTACTGCAGTTAAAAAGATTAAATCAGATATTAAATGGATATTTTAAGATCAATAACGTGGGCGAATCTTATATCAGAATTTGTGGTTAAAAATAACTATTCAAAAATTATTGTCAATTCGTTAGAAATTAGAATATTCGAAATTAAAATATTCTCATTGACTACGAATATCATTTGAACAAGTTGTAATTTGTATTACCTTCAGGTCTTAAATACACGATCGTTTATATCAATTTAATGTTGGTAAAAAATATTGCATTTTTATAGCATTGCATTGCATTTTAATATTGCAAAAGTAAAGTAAATTCTTAACATTTAAAAATGATGCATTTTATTTAAATAATAAGTAAAATAACTGAAGTATTTTACCATATCATAATTATGAAAATATTAAGCAATAGCATTGTTTAGGATAATATTATGAATAAATCTAATTAAGAAATATTAACTTATTGAAATACGCTTTTTGGAATTTAAACGACTTAAAAAAAAATTAAAAAAATTAAATTGTATTTAGAATTTAACAAGTCTGCTGGTATTTTTTTTCTGAATCAAGTCTAGTTGTTCAAAATTTAAATTTACAATAAAAAATATGCGAAAATAACCATTTATTGGTAATTGAGCAATTTACATGGACACATCAAATTTCTAGATAAAATAATTTCAATTTTTCTGAATTAATTCTGAAGTAGTTTTTAAAACATAAAGAATCATAATAGTATAATTCTTTCGATTTCTTTAAACAATTCGTCAAAAAATTAAAAAAGAATCTGATTAGTGTTAACAGTTCAGTTGGAAATCACAATTCACTATTGTATAAAAATAGAGCAAATCGTTTCATTTCAAGTGAAGACTTGTAAAAATAATTGTACTTGGTAGAATGTAGCGGGGCTTGACGGTCCACGGGTAAAAACGTTCACCAACGTTGCCTTATAAACAAGTAAAATATAGAGATTTTCAGCAATACTATTTTAAAGTAGTAGGCAGAAGACGTATAACCAGCCATTATCTCAATTCTCACTACGTTGCTTTCAGGAGGTGAATAGCTATGTACCAATATTTGAAACAAAAATAAATAAAAAACAAAAAGCATTTTGTTTTTATTGGTATTTTTTTTAATTTTGAGCTCTTTTATTTAGTTGACAATACCTGACTATAATTTTTAAGTGCATATGTATATGTTATTTAATTCAACAGCTTTTTTTATTGAACCTCTATTAAAGCTGACATGTGGGTGGGGTAAGAAAAATCTACTAAATCTTTACCCTGGTAAACGTGTAAAAAAATAAGAAAATAGTAAATGAAAACGTAAATTAAGTTCAAGAAATTAACAGCTATTCCAACTTTGCCATTACATATTTCCGACAAAATACCAGATTATAGGTTATATACAGTGGTGTTGTCGAGCCGGAACGCGCCGGAACGTCGTTTCGGCAAATCATTTTTGGGAAGGAACGCGTTCCGGCAAGAAAAAATATTAAAAAATCGCTATATACAGAAAATGATTTAATTAGTAAATTTTATAAATTATTATTCAACTAATTTTTATTAAATGTTCTTATTATTGTAATAAACATACATATATGTGCACACAATAGGTTTTGTAATAATTTTTGTTTCTTTGAAATCGTTTGATCGCTTGTAAATTTTTACAATCCAACATTTATTGGTAATTTTTTTTAATCATTGTTTTTTGACATTTATTTATTGGTAAATTAGTTGACAATTTATAGCAAAAAAGTTACCCTGATATTTCAATAGACTTATTGTCTAAATTTCGGCCTACAATTTGAGATTTGTTTGCATATTCAAAGAAACTTTGATCTTTTAAAAATCTGATGAAGGTGCTGTGGAATTGATGATCACTCAATTATTGATTGAACTGGTAGTAGATTAAAAAATTGTACTTCTAGACTAGTAATTCTCAACGTGGGGCACGCGCCCCACAGAAAAATCCATTTTTAAATTCAAAGGGGGGAGGCAAATTAATAAATTAACCCACTTGCTTCGGGTGATTTGAATGTAATTTGTAAATACTGTTAAAAATTCGTTAAATATATTATGATCATTGTTTAGTTGAAGTGAGCACAGGATGCATGTGCAAATCATATAATTTTTCCATATATATTTTCATAGCTTAGGTAAATAAGCATCCCTTTTTAGGTCTAATGCAAACTCTGTATATATTAGTCTGTATATTTATAAATTGCCATCCCTCACAGACAGCGGTATAATAATTTTTATATTATATTTTTAAATTTAGAATTTTTAGAATTCAGTAAGTTGCGAGACTAAGAACATCTTAAGAAAATTAGCTCGCACAAGTTACTCAACAACATTTAATAAAATTTATAATTCTATATCTATTGTCGCACAGTGCACACAATCGTTTAAAAGTGCAGTAATTAATTTTCTATGAAGTGATAACGGCAAAGGCAGCAGTAAGGTGTAATCGACGCCTTAACGGATATTTTGGATATTTAATACCGAGATAAAAATTCTTATAGAAAAAATAATATTTATAAATTAAATTTTATATTCATTCGCATTTCTTATACGCTAACACCTACATCATAGGTTCCGTCCATTCGTGTATTTTTATAGCCTTACATAATGCCTATACGTTGCATTCTATACTACACGCCTTACATCTATACCATACGCTATATTTCATCACATACTCTCAAATCCCTACATTGTATACGGAGTACACTTAACCTATATCTACTATATATTCTATTACCTATAATTTTCCTTACACGCTACATTAACCCTACCGAGAATCGAACCCGGGTCCGCCGCGTGGAACGTGACGACCTTAACCACTACACCACCGTAACGCTACAATCAACCGTCTTTTTTCGCGTGTCGTCGCGCCACCTCAGTATTAATTACCTAATTAATTAGAAAATGACCCGCGGAAACAACAGTGCGTCCCATATTTTATTATTAATGGAGGTAGCCGATAGGGTAGTGGTTAAGGTGCGCGACCGCCATGCGGAAGTCCCGGGTTCAATTCCCGGTATAGACAATAGATAGGTAGAGATAATACATAGGGCGTAAGGTAAACCTATATAATATAGGTAAATATATAAATTAGACAGTAATATTTATAAGAAGTAAAAAGTATGTAGGTATATAATAAGTTAATAGTTATATAATAAGTTATAATAATGACGGTGTAGGTATCTCACGGTATAATTGATAATAGATATCTACCTATGATATACAATAATATAGTACAGTAAGATAGATAGATAAATCTTGAGTACATTTATATCATAATAAATACCTGTAAGTATTAATGAATACAAATAATACCACAATAAATATAATTAATGTTATTAAAGAATATAAATTATGTACTCAATAATTTCCTCATACTTGTACAATTTAATTTATAGACTAGCTGTATATAATAGAGTTAATTATATAAGAAGTCAATATATTAGATTCGTGAGTTCTTATCGAAATATATCAAATTTTTTGAACCGGTTTATGAACCGGATTTTAAATTTTAGCGTTCCGGCAAAAAAAATATTAGCACAAAACCACAGGTTATATACGGTGTGATATTTGTAAAAAATTTGACCAATGTGATTTTTTTTTATTTTGTATTAGTTAAATAATTTTATTATTATTTCGGAGAAGCGATTTAAAATTAAAAATAATACATTCGCTCTCGTGTACATTCGTGGCAGCTTATGGATTAAAAAGGGACAGATGACTAATTGTAGAAAAATAACTAAAAACATATTTCTATAATTAGGAATTTACATTTACATTTTACTGAACATTGTTCGATAGTTGTTTGTTTGATACGTCTCATGTATTAATTTTATTTAGGCATTAATTGGACCTTTGCGCCCCTACTGTCGAGAAATTATTATTTAATCACGTCCAAATACTTGTTTTGTGAAAAAAAAACTCAAAAATATCTCACATATTAAAACGTTTGATTATTTTCAACTAATTCTCCAAATTCAATATAAATCCATTTTACCTGACTTCTTTTTCCGACTTGGCAAGCATCCAGTATACTTTAGCACTGGCGGTCTTCTGGTCCTGCTGGGACGCCTTAGGCCAGGCGCCGAGAACCATCAGCTGTGTGACGTGGCAGCCCCTTGGTAGAGGCGGCCTATGGGGCACCTGTTGCGTCCAATGGGCCACTGCGAACATTTCCGGAGCAGCCCCCACGAGACAATCGGCGCTCGGAGATTTACGCCCGGGATCCTGATAATGGATAATAGGAATAAAATTATTGAGACATTATAATTCAAATTGCATATTAATGAAAGATCGGCATTTAAAAAAAAATTAATGATTGTTTTAGAGTCAATGGTTTTCAATTTAATTATTAAATGTGTTAATGAAAACACAACATGTTATGTTTTCGCAATAATAGCAAATTATAATAAAATACATAACACGTTATCAAATAAAAAAGTATCGAACTATATTCACTAAAATTTCCATCGAATCATAGATTTACGATTATTGATTTTTTTTTAATTTGTCATCTGTCCCATTTTGGCCCATAGGTGGTGTGAAGAGGGGCAGTCAGGGGTAAAACAGATCCAATTACCTATTTCTAATTTTGTAGACTTTTTCCAATAATAGCTACATCATTTAACCAATGCAAAATACAAATTTCATGGGTAATTTTTTTTACAAAGATCACACCGTATACAACCTCGATCTGGTATTTTGCCAGAAAAATTCATTAGCAGAGATGGAATAACTATCAATATAATTTATTATTTGTAAAGTGGCTCTTAAAACTTATTTTATTTATTTATTTATTTACTATTTTCTAATTGTTTACTCATTTGACAGGGTAAACGTTATATGCGGCCCTTTTGTCTACTTGTATGCTTTTATAGAGATTATATAAAACAACACTGTCGAATCTAATTCAAAAATAACAATTTATTTCATGAAACAATGAAAAATTACATTCAGGTGTCATAATCAAAATAAAAAAATACTACCAACAGAAAAGGCATAATGATACATGGCCGTTTACCTCCTGATACAGACGTCGTACACATATTTTACTTTCTACTTTGAAATAGTATATTTAAATAATTCCAAACCTGACTTGTTTTTGAGATAATGGTAGTGGACTCTATTTTACCTCGGATCTTTAAACCATCTATTGTAAATGTATAAAAATTCATCATATGATTTTTATAATAATTCACAAAGTACCTATTACTCATAAAAATTAAAGTTATTCTAACAAAATCAAACGTTGCACTAGCTTAAAAATAATTTTAATGGAAACTAGTAAACATCTTGCCATAATTTGCTCTAAATAACAAAAACAAAATAAAAATATAAAACTATCAAATATAAAAATATAAAAATCCATATTTGTATAAATATGACACTTTTGGTATGTAAATAAATTGTTTAATTTTGGCGTGTGTTATCATTACATAGAAATTAAGTCTAGTATACGAACATTTCTGATAATAAAAAACTATATCCAAATATAGCTGCAAAACTGTACAGAAAATTTTATAGTCTATATATAATGATTTCCTATAACTATGCATTATTTTAAATGAGCTTTATAAATATATTTTTAATTCATTATTAAACTATATTCAGATATAGCTGCAAAACTGTACAGAAAATTTTATAGTCTATATATAATGATTTCCTATAACTATGCATTATTTTAAATGAGCTTTATGAATATATTTTTAATTCATTATTTAAAAAAAATTAATTGAACGATTCTGGCGCACAGCAGAATAATGTTATGGCAAGGCTATGCTATAAAGAACTTGTCACACTAAATATTGACAAAAGCCATGTAGTTGCTATGCAGCCAAACGTTTTTCTCGGGTTGTCAGATGTCAAAGAACTATCTTAGTTGCACAAATGTCAAAAAACTATCTTCGATGATAGGTTCTTTCTGACCTAGTTTTATAACATACAAATGATGTTGCAGTTTGTATGCAAAACCCTCGGAATGCACAGCAAATACATGACTTTTTGGCAGTATTCGGTATCATTCAGTAGCATAATGTATGGAAGTTAGAGCATAACATGGCCTTGCCATAACATTGGTGAGTTCTGCGGCAGAATCGGCCCATAAATCGCATCCAGATTTCGTAAAATGTAATATCCTAATATTTCGTAAAATGCAACTGCCTAAACTACTAGGGTCATACTAGTAGTTACAAAACCAAAATTCACAAATATTAAAAATGTAGAACTACTGTAAGTACAATAGAAATCAACCACTAAATTTAAACTTAAAGAATAATGATTAATTTTGTTATTTCGTATTAATTAAATTTCGCTGCTAATAAAAGAATCTGTTAAGAATAAATTCAAACCAGTTATTAGTATGCATTAATTTTAATATTAATTTACATTAATAAACAAAAATTTCAGACAATGATGAGTTCTTCCAAGAACTACTCCAATTAATGCAAATATATTCAGATGTCTATTTTATAATGAAAATTAACTTTTCATGGAACTACCTCAGTGAAACGAAAAAGTTTTAATTATTTCACTCTCAAAAGATGGACTAAAACATGTTACAAGAACTCTAGTGCACAAGAAATTTAATTTCTGCCAAGAAGTAGACGTGAAGTAGTGAATTAAATATCTCAGCAAGTTTTTCTTATCATTTTTATGGTAATGAACTTATATAATATAAAAATTATGAAAATAATGTTTATTAAAAGATTCACGTTCCACTTGTAGAGCAATAGTGTATAATGAAATTAATTATTTTTTGTTGTGATTTTTGGTACATGTTTAATCACAAATCCTAATTTCCTAATCTTTTTAATTAGTTACAAAATTTATTGTCTTAATCAATACCGAGTTTAACTTTCCAGACTGAAAGAAAGATAATATTTACGCAATCCGTTATTGAAAGAAGCTTTCAATAACTTCTAGTCAAATTTAATACAATGCCTAATTATTATATCAAGTTTCATCAGATAGGGTAAAGCGGGGCTTAAAGTTCCACAGGTAAAAAGAGTCACCAGCAATATCTCAAAAACAAAAAGTTAGGAGTTTTTTAACAATAATATTTGAAAGTAGAGGGAAAATTAAGTCAAGCAACTTAAATCAAGCAACGTCACTACCGTTTTGCTTTAAACAACTTTTTTTGTAATTCTATTACAAGTATTTTTTAGTTGTTAGTTTTTTTCGGTTTTAGGCATTGTTGTTCAGTTTACGACACCTAAATATAATATTTAAATATACGTTAATAAATTGTTTTATAAGATATATTGTTAATTTCAAGTTAAATTCGACAGGTAAATGTATGTTATATACTTTATAAAAAAAATTAATTGAGTGGGGTGAAAATAACTACCAGAATCTTTATCCTGGTAAGGTGTGACAATGGTAAATAAAAACTGAATTGAGTTGAAAAAAGCAAGCTTACAAGAAATAAATTAAATTAATAGTTATTCCAACTTGATTATTGCTGATGATTATTTTTGACAAAATACCAGACCAAGAATATAGACAGTGTTATCTTTGTAAAAAATATGCCCATGAAATTTAAATTTTGCATTGGTTGATTATTGTATTCATTATTATGAAAAATTCCTTTAAAGTTAAAAATAAGACATTGGACCTGTTTGTCCCATGGCTGACTCATTTTACTTCGTCTATGGGGTAAAAAGGAACATATGGCAAATTTTAGAAAAATATTATGAGAACACATGTCCAATTAGGAATTAACTGGAAATTTTGCTGATACTGAGCATAGTACGATAGTTGTTTGTCTGATATCTGGAATGTTTTGAAATGTAGTTCATTTGATTTAGACAGTATAATTACTTAAAATCAAATTGGACATTAATGCTCCACCCTACTCTATTCATAAAAAAATAAGTACGCAAAAAACGGATTAAAACATTAAAAAAAATCTCTTTAAATGTTATGACGATTTCTGTAATTTACGCAGCGAGATATCACGAATAAAAATATAAACTTTAGAAGTCTTACTATGACCTGAGTTATGAGTTAAAATAGAGGTACAACTTCAACAACATTCATAATTCTCTTTGAAGAAGAATGATTGTGCTGCTCATATTTCAATATTAAGAACTTGCGATTTCAGCCACTGGTTCTGCATTTGGAATCATTATACAAGATTATAAGTCTCAAAATATGATAAAGTATAGAAACAGCCTTTCTGCGGTCATTACTACACATACATCTCATAAGTATAAGATAAAAATAGGATATAAAAAATGCATATTAAAAAATCTATTTGTGGAACTTAATAAAATTGCAAACACCATTATGATTTTAGTTTAATACTGCGTCGTAAAAGTTTGTTTATTTTTCAAATGCGACAACAATGTTATTACACAGATTTTATTTCTCGTACGAGTTTTATATAGCGTATGTAGGTAAATAGAGCAAGGATAAACATATAACGAAAACACACGACTATATAATGACAACTATATGTAATAATCTTGTTATTTTCTTAGATATTCCAGAGCTGAGTAGATGGTGCGCTTACGCAAGCGTCAACATCGAAAGGATATGCATTATACGCCCAACTACATAATAATCACAAATTGTTAATAATAAGAAAGTATAGGCTATATTAAAGGCAAGTGGTAAATTTCTGCCTTTTCTGTTTAACTACAATTATCTCGAATTTTTGCTTTCCAAATGAATTAACACACCAAACTTTTTAACAATGCTTTCATATTTTTTATGTTTTTCTAGATTCATTCCACAGCATCATTAGCAGACATTGTTATGGCATTGTCAGTCTGACCAAATTCCCTTTTTTACCAAATAGTAGTGAACCGATTCTTCCTCAAATACATTCTGAGCTTTAATCCATTTACTGAAATCAAGAATATCCAAGCGAGATGACACTGAAGACAACGGTAGAAAATCAAGAATTGGGAGACATTGATCATTTCAAATACTTGAGAAGCATCCCAACCAGAGACTTAGAGAGATCAGGGCAAGGATTGCAAGCTCCAAGCGGTATTCATTAGAAATCGAAGTCTACTGACGAGCAAACTGAGTCTTGATTTGTGAAAGACACTAATAAAGTGTTATGTCTGAAGCATACTATATATGGACTCTAAGAAAAGCTGTCAAGAACTGTCTGGAAAATTTTAAAATTGTGATGCAGGTGGCACATGGAGAAGATAAAGTGGATAAATGAAGTAGCAGATAAAGAAGTCTCGAGAAAAGTGGGCGAAAAGAAAACTCTTCTAAGACGAATATTAAAAGGAATGGAAATTGGATCGGGCCCAATCTATAGCAAGAATGACGTAATTTTTTTTTTCGACAGTAAATTACAAGAAAACGGCTTGGTAGATCTTCACCTAAAATTAATCTGTATCAATCCCAACTAATGTCTTTCGAACAGTTTTTGATTTTTTTAAATCGGTTCGGTAGTATGAGCTTAAATGTGGACGAAAAGTTTAACACTTTTTTCCAAATTACAAAGAAACGGTTTGGCAGATTGTCGCACTGAACTGATAAACGATAGTCCTCATCAAGATACATCAAATGGCTTTTAAATTTCTGTAATCGGTTCAGGCATTTTTGAGAAAAAAAACAATACTAATTTTTGCCAACTTTAACAAATTTTTAATGTTAAACTAATTGTCGTAGGGCTATAATATTTTAGTATGATCTAGGAGACTATGGTAGCTTCAGAATTGCGGGCTTAAACGTGGACGAAATTTTTTTCACTTTTCTGCTATTTATAAAGAAACGTCTCGGCCGATCGTCGCACGAAACTAACAAACGCTAGTCCTCATCGAGATATGTACATCAAATGGCTTTTAAATTTTTGAAATCGATCCAGCCGTTTTTGAGAAACACGTTGATGACACGCGCACACACACACATACTTTTTCCAAATTAAGTCTCATTCGATTCAAAATGGCTTGAAACGTCAAGAAAACATAAAATTAGCAAATCGGATTTTTTGATGAAAACAAACTTCTCCTTCGGGAAGTTAAAAATGAAATTTTTTGCATTTCTTAACGTTTTGAAGATTTCTGAACATTGCGGCCCATTTTGGATCCAAAAGACATTCATTTCGTAATGCAGAAGTGTTGATCAATTTTTGGCAAAGGCAAGTCCAGCCGTTTTGGAAACACCTAGCAAAATGTGCAAAAAATGGCAGTTTTTAAGAGAACTAAGCATCCAATTTGAATGATTCAAAGAACTTTCATCTTGTGTTGAAAAAAAAATTGCTGTTGGAACAAGATTTTTTTATTTTTTTTCTAATTTCTAAAAATTTTTTTATTTGATTATCGAAAATAATTCGGATTTTATTTTCAATTCTAGCTCACTAATATACTCCAAATGAATAACTTTGCTATTCAGTTTAAATCATGCTTATAAATATTAGGCAATGTATTTCATTTTAAAGTTGATTGATTAGATTTTGTTTATTTACTTTTCTGTAAACATATAAAAGTGACTATATTTATAATAATCTATTTGGAAACATTTAATATTCCTCTAATATTTCATTACGGTACGGGAAGTTCCAGCAATTTACCTTAAGGCACAATGCCATACACCCCTAGTTATTATTACTATTACATTTACTACTTTATTAGTACATTTTATCTTCCCTACTCAACTTCCGTAGAACATGTCAAGCTTTTGAAAAGTTTTGTTGGATTCTGATAACTTCTACATATCTGCTCTGATAAGATACTAGTTTTTTGTCAGTTTGCTAATGCTAACTTTTAATTTAATAAGACAAATGGTCAATGCATATCAATACCGTGTAAGGGTACCTATTCGATCACAAGGTATCGAATGTTTTTTGAATCATTCAAATCGGTTGATCTGTGCGCCCGAAAACGTGGACAGAAAACTGCGTACATACAAAACACATACACATACACAAACACACAACCATTTTTTCTGAGGTATGCCAAAATGTTCAAAAACCTTCAAAACGTGAAGATATGCAAACATTTTCATTTTCGATAATACATCAATTGCTCAAACTAAATAATAATCATAAATTGTTAATTATTATGAAGATTTAGGTAAATTACAGATAAATGGTAGATTCCATAAAATTCTACTTTTCTGTATTTATTAACTTTGAAGCAAGCTTTTATAATCCTTAGGCCCTCTTTTCATTTCACAATATCTCTTAGCAAACATGTTTATTTAGGGCATTATTAGCCTGGTCCAATAGGTATCTTTTTTGGCAAAAAAATGCGTAATGATATTTCCCCAAGTATTTTCTGAGTTTTATTCCATTTACTACTTTATTAGTACTTCATCCTCTCTACTTAACTCTTTATGTCAAGCTTTCAAAAAGTTTTGTGAGACTTTCTCTAACTACAACTTTTTGCTCTGATAAGATGCTAATAGTTTTTTGTCAGTTGTTTGGTACTAACGTAATACTTTTAATTTAATAAAACCAAAGTTAAAAGTAGTATTTTAGTTTTTATCATTTATCCGATGTACGATACAAAATTTATAATAGAAACAAGTAGCAATAACAATATAAAATCAGTAACATCAATATTTTGACAATCACAGAGAATTATTGTCCTTTTGAGAGTTTTCAATATAAATGCCAAAATAGCAATACGAAATCAAATCATGTCAGAAAAATATTATTTATGCAATTATTAAATTTTTAAAAATAAATTATGAACATGTTTCTAATAAAATACTTACTCTAAACCAGGCCATTGTTGAATCATCATATAAAACTACCCATTCTTCATGCCATCTGCTCCATAACATATTTCCTGAAAGAAACAAAAAGGGCCATTAGTAGTAATTATATTATCAGTTATCACCAAATATTACAATTTTTTAATTGAAAATAAATTTAGAGAAAAATATGAATTAAAAAAATAATTTATTTCAAAAATTAATTAATAGATTTTGAACAAATAATTTTAAATTTCGTAAAAAAACGAGTTCAAAAACAAAGTTTCCATTACAAATTCCTGAACTAAAAGAATTAATATATTTGAATCATTTGAATATATTAATATATTTGAATCATTTGAAAGTTGAAATCGCAAAAAATAACCCCATTTAAAAAAGAAACTAGTGGTGGATGGCATAGTACCTTAAGACAAATTGTTGGAACTTCCCGTACCGTAATGAAATGTGTCAAGAATACTAAATGCTTTCAAATAAATTAGATTAATATATATACTGTAAAATTGCCTAATATTTATGAGAATTATATAAACTGAATTACAAAGTTATAATTATTTATTTAGAGAGTATATAAGTGACCTTTAAAACTTTAGTCAGAATTAAAATCTAAATCTAATTTTTTTTTGAAAAGCAATTATTTTGTTAAAGCAAGCAGAAAGTTTTTTGAATCATTCAAATCGGACGCTTAGTTTCCTCAAAAACTGCCAAAAATTTAGCTCTGTTTCTTCGAAATGGCTGGATCTGCTTTTTCCAAAATCTGATCAACTTTTCTTCCAATCATTACAAATTGAATGTTCTATAGATCATTCAAATCGAGTACTCCGTTCTCTCAAAAACTCGATTTTTATTTTCTGCACTCTTTGCTCCGTATCTCCAAAACGGCTGGACCCGCCTTTGCCAAAAACTAATCAGCGCATCTCCCTATCACAAGGTATCGAATGTTTTTTGAATCATTCAAATCGGTTGATCTGTGCGCCCGAAAACGTGGACAGAAAACTGCGTACATACAAAACACATACCCATACACAAACACACAACAATTTTTTCTGAGGTATGCCAAAATGTTCAAAAACCTTCAAAACGTGCAGATATGCAAACATTTTTATTTTCGATAATACATCAATTGGCCTAGATGTGCACCCCCAGTGACCATTTACTGCTCTAAGATCTCAAATGCTCGCTGGAAGAAATTTTCGTCGATTAAAGAGATGATCGTCGGATTTTGGGGCAAAATGACAAAAATAGTTCAACAAAAATTGTATCCAAAATTTGAGACTCGCTATAATTGGTATATTGTACTCGAAGGCAACTATGTTGAATAAAAAAATTGCTACAATATGGTTTTGATTCAAAACCAAACAACGTATTTGCATGCCCGTAATTTTCTTTCGTAAAATATTTCATCAATAATTTCTTAGTATTCTATGTAAATACTAACGAAGAGTTTTAATTAAAGATTATTTTTACACCTACCACCATTAATTTTTTCAATACAACTGTTTTAATTAAATTCCGTATCCAACAATTGGCACGCCGAAGTGAACTCTTATCCAACTGATCAAACAGCGATAAATATGAAATAGGTTTCTAGTAATTTTCCAATTCCGAGTGAAATTTATTTTCTCCCAAGAGCAATGAATTTACATTATCGCAACGTTCGCGCCTAGAGGCGTGTGTACCTTACTAATTAATATTTGAAGTGATTTTATCTGGGACACGATTCAATTTCGCCGGCACTCTCTATCTCAATATTATCGCAGCTCGGAAAGTGCATTTTCTCGAGAAAATCATTGCCAACGTATATTTTCCTACGTGTTTGTGTTGAAATAAGGTTTAGTTTGTTGATAAAGATGTTCACAAAGAGAAAACACGCTGTGAAACTGTTTGGGTCAATTGGCAATATTGCTGCAAGGATACTTACAATAACAATATTTCTTCAAGGATTTTTTAACTTGTTACATCACTGAGCATATACTTGCATGAGAAGATGCAAATAAATAGAGAAATTGACACACATGCATTTATTTTATGAACTCAAAAATATTTTATAAACTTTGAATACGATACAAATTTCATTGGATGGGACATGTCTTACAACATAGTTAGAAAATATACTATTCTTGCCTCTGATCCAGAGGTTTTTTATATATGAATGAAAAATTGTCATACTGTCCGGAAACTACGATTCCTCCAAAAGTTTAAAGATATTCTGATGCATTTGATTTTGAAAGACATTTTGTTGCCACCCAGATATAAAGAAGTAGAGCAAGGAAGAAAGTTCCAACATGTTTTTAAGTAATTATACTGTCTGAATCAAATGAACTATTCACGACACATAACACGTATCAAACAAACAAGTATCGTACTATATTCAGTAAAATTCACAGTTTACTCCTAATTATAGAAATGTGTCCTTTACTATTTTTCCAAAATTTGCCAATTGTTTCTTTTTACTTCATAGACGTGGTAAAATATGACAGCTAATGGAAAAACAGGTCAAATCTCCTATTTCTAATTTTGAAGAGATTTTACGCAATAATAGCCACAATATTCAACTAACACAAAATAAAAATTTTATGCAAACATTTTTTTACAAAGGTGATTCTGTATATAACCTTGATCTGGTCAGAAATAATCGCCAGCAGAGCTGGAATAACTGTTACGTTAATTTATTTCTTGTAATTCTTTTGTTTTAATCGAATTTACATTATTATTAACTATTTTTCATTGTTTACGTCTTTGTCAGGGTAAAGGTTTAGTTGCTCGTCTCTACCCCACGAACATGTAGGGTATCTAGCGGTTATATAAAAACATTTGTTAAATTTAACTTAAATGTCATTAAGACATTTTAGAAAATAAAAAAAAAATTACTTAATAATTATATTACGATCTCTCAAACTAAACAACAATGTCGTCAACAAAAAATCGAACAGTGAAAGAAAATGCTTTTGTTATATATTTTCAAACACAGCAGTTGAATTCCTGGTAATGACGTTGCCCAATTTGAAGCTATGGCTGGAAACACATAGTTCTCCCTCTACTTTCAAATATTGCTATTAAAAAATTTCTAACTTTACTTGTTTTGGAGATACTGGAAGTGGACCTTTTTACCCGCGGTCCTTTGAGCTTCTCTATCCTATTGTACGTAGCAAGTTGAATAAGTATTATAGTCTTGCAAGAAGTGGTTTAATTATAATACGAAATTCGCTTTACAATAACTATAATAAGAAATTTACTATAATTTATTATTAGCGTTTTCTGTCGATATGTCTTGTGGTTAAAGTAAATTCCAACTTTTACGTCCATTTTAGCAGAGCATATCTATGTTTTCGGGCCACTTCTCATAGGCCTATAATATTTTAGGGAGTTTGTTTGACCGAGTTGAGCACCATATAAAGTTTCATCAAATTCTTAACCTATAGAACAAACTTTTTTTCTATAATTCGATATTTAAATTCATATGTCATGTACTAATTGAGGTTATGGTTAAATATTTCTGGTGTCGTTTGAAACTACGCTTAGAAATATACACAATTATATGTTATTTTAATAAATTAAAAAAAATTTAATAACTACTTTTATTAATTCAATGTGATGAATATGTGACAGCCACTTGTAAGGTGAAAATAAGTGCCTATTGTTCAAATGGTGTTTTGCAAAAAAAAAAACATTAAAAAGTGATGTGAATAAGAATTTGATGTAAAATAAACAATTAGTTGTTAAAATATATGAACAATTGTGCGTTAATGAATAATATGTGTAAAATATGTGAATTTTGAATCATATAAATCAGATCAGGACAAGGACAAGGATCGGCAGCGCCAATGCGGCATGCACAAAGATGAGAACGCTACTGAAAAGCAAACTGACCCTTGACTTGCGGCAGTCTGAAGCATAACTCTGTACGGATCAGAAACATGGAATCTAAGAAAGGACGACAAAAACTATCTGGTGAGTTTTGAAATGTGGTGCTGGTGACGATTGGAGAAGATGAAGTGGATAGATAAGATAACAAATGAAGTAGTACTGAGAAGAGTGGATGAAGAAAGGACTCTACTGAGCACGATCATTAAAAGGAAAGGAAACTGGATCGGACCGGTTCTGCAAAAATATAAATATAAATATAATATAAATAAAACTAATATAATAAAAATAAAAACACGACGTCGCCGAAAGTAAAGAAAAAGTTAAGGAAGGAAAGGAACTAAAAGGAATAGAAAGAAGAAGAATGCAGATGATTGACGACTTATGCGAGAAACGAAAATACAGGAAACTGAAAACCGAAGCCCAGGATCAGGAAGCTTGGAAGCAAAAGTTTGGAAAAGAAAATACATAAAAAATGTGTAAAAAAAGGATCGTATGGTGATTGATAGATGACCAAGGGTTAGGAAATCATTTATTTGTGGTGGCTCTCACATCATGGACCTGCCTCCGGGCAAACTACCATTTATTATAATTATTATTGCAAGGCACATCAGTAAATCAAAATTCAGTTATATATCGAAAAGGACAGAAAAACTAATTTTCATGTTTTTTTCTTGTTTATATAACATTACATTTTAAAAATAATTAAAAGCGTATATATACATATATTTTTTGCTTATGCGAGAACTCCGAAATTTCACAAAGTTTCTGGGTTAATTATTTATAAAAGCATGCAAATTTAATTAGGCGAACGTTGATGAAAAATAATTTATACACAGGAATATTCTATTTTATTTTATTCAACCAAAAATCGTCACGAAATATTCAGAAAATATTCCGTTCGCTTTTATTTACGTAATAATAGTTAATATCAATAAATGAGACGGCTCGGGTTTCGTTCTTGTATATAAAAGTTAATCATAATGAATCGTAATGAAATGTCTTATAGATCAAGAAGTAAATATATATATATATATATATATATATATCTTCATATTATACGGTCAAATAAAACTTACTTTTATAACGTAGCAAATATCCGCCTTTGATTTGTTTTCCACCTGAAATAAGAAATGTTACTATTAAATTACTACAATCATTTTGTTGAGTAGACGTTTTACAACTTTATTAGTCCGGTATAAAATAATAACCCCTAAAATATCTGTGATGATATTATTTGCATTATGATAATAATAGTAGTTTACGTTGATTTATGATAAGTATTTCTATTGTATGAGACACTATATATTAACTTCCCGTAGGGTAAGTTATTGTAATGGGCCGAAAATCGGAATTGAAAATTTTTACATTTCTCGACGTTTTGAAGGTTTCTGAACATTTTGGCATACCTCAGAAAAAATGGATGTGTGTGCGTGTATGTATGTATGTATCGATACAATTTTTCGGTCACGTTTTCGGGCGCACGGATCAACCCAATTAAATGATTCAAAAAACATTCGATTACTATTGATAGGAAAATGTGCTGATTAGTTTTTGGCAAAGACAGGCCCAGCAGTTAAAGAGATAAGGAGTAAAGAGTGCAGAAAATAGAAATCGAGTTTTTGAGAGAACGGAGCATCCGATTTGAATTACCTAAAAAATATTCAATTACTAATAATTGGTAGAAGTGTTTATTAGTTTTTGGCAAAGGCAGGCCCAGCCATTTCGAAGATACGGAGCTAAATGTGACAGGGCCTACAGTGAGATACCGAGACAGATAGAGGAGAGATAGACCGATATAGAGACAGAGATAAGAGAGAACCGAGAGAGCAGAGGAGGAGAGATAGAAGCGACAGAGATAACTACCAAATCAGGATAAGATACAGAGAGATATATATAGAGAGAGATAGAATATAGAGAGATATACTCGTATATATAGTAGACCTATAGATATAGATATATCATGACATATAATATAGATATACCGATATATATCTATACATACAGACATATATATATATATATATATATATATATATATCATTATTTGTTATTAACCTATTATATATAACGTACACCCTACATATCTCTTTTTACCCCTTACAAACCTTACATACTACTATTTAAACGCTATATTTTTCTCTACCGTATACTCTATTGTTTATCGCCCTCACCGGGAATCGAACCCGGGACCACCGCGTGGCAGTCCACAGCTTTGACCACTACTCTATTGGGTTCCCCACAAATAATATATTAAGGGACGCATTGTTCTTCCGCGGTACCTTTACCTATTAATTAAGTAATTAATACTACGGCGACGAGACGACACGCGAAAAAAGACGTCAAATCGTAGCGTCATGGTGGTTTAGTGGTTAAGGTCGTTGTCTTCCACGCAGAGGGTCCGGGTTCGATTCCCGGTAGGGTTCGGAAAAATTAGCGTTTAAGAAACATTATAGGTGTAAGATACGGAATAACGCAGTGGGTCCGGGTTCGATTCCCGGTAGGGTTCGGAAAAATTAGCGTTTAAGAAACATTATAGGTGTAAGATACGGAATAATATTGGGCGTATTACGTATATAGGATAGTAGGCGTATTAGGCGTAATAGGCGTATTATATAGTTAGTAAAAAGGCGTATAACATAAAAATTAAGGTTTAGGCATACGTGAGTATGGTATTGGTATCTTATAAGAAATACATGTTATATGATAATCGCAAGCACAATTTTGATACGGGTACTATATAAAGAGCATTTTTATCCTTATAACAACTCTTTAAATATTATTTTATTCAAGGCAAATAAAAGAAGTACGTGACATACCTCAGCATTTAATTTTTGCAGCCACGAGTACAAGTTTTGCAGTTCATTAAATAATTTAAGTTCAAAATAGGTATTGTTGATCTAAGAAAATAAAAGTAAATTTTGCTTAAAAATTCAATTTATTAATATAAAAGTATTTACCAATATACATGTGCAGGGTTGTCCCAGAACTCAACCAACATGTTCGTCTTTATGTCTGTTCGTCACGTTTTTTTTTTAACTTCCCGTAGGGTAGTTATAGTAATGGGCCGAAGATCGAAAATGAAAATTTTTGCATTTCTCGACGTTCTGAAGGTTTCTGAACATTTTACTGGCATACCTCAGAAAAGTAATGGATGTGTGTGTTTTGTATGTGCGCATTTTTTCGTCCGCGTTTTCGGGCGCACGGATCAACTGATTTGAATGGTTCAAAAAACATTTAACCCCTATTGATGGGGAGGGATATGTGCTGATTAGTTTTTGGCAAAAGCAGGTCCAGCCGTTACAAAGAGTGCAGAAAATACAAATCGAGTTTTTGAGAGAACGGATTTGAATGATCTAAAAAATATTCAATTTGTAATGATTGGGAGAAGAGGTGATTAGTTTTTGGCAAAGACATGTCTCGCCATTTCGAAGATACAGAGCTAAATGTGCAAAAAGTGGCAGTTTTTGAATGAACTAAGCGTCCGATTTAAATAATTTAAAGAACTTTCTGCTTGTTTTAACAAAACAATTGCTTTTGAGGATAAATTTGTGTAAATTAGGCAACTATTTTTTTTATATTGAATTCGAAATAAAATGACGATTGTTAATGTTCCGAAGATAAATTGATTTGATGATTTACATTTGATTTGCTCAGATATAACAAAAGATAGCAAAAATAATAAAAGTTACAGTATTTGTAATAATATATCTGAAAACGTTTAAAATTTCTCAAATATTTCATTACGGTACGGGAATTTCCAACAATTTGCCTTAAGGCACGATGCCACACACCACTAGTTTAACTTAGTTTTATTGGGAGTCCATAACCGCTAGACCCGCCTTCAAAAGTTTAATCATTTCTTCATCTTGCCCATACAAGCAACATGTTATTTGAATTATTAAAATGGGAGGCCTCGTTCTCTTAAAAACTGAGATACCGTTTTTGGCCTCCTATCTTCGGAACGGCTAGACCTGCCTTCGCCGAAAACTAATCAGCACGTCTCCTTTTCAATACGAATCGAATGTTTTTGGAATTATTCAAATCGGTTGATCCGCGTTCCCGAAATCGTCGACGAAAATTTGTATCCGCACACACACACATACATCGATCTTTTTAAGGTATGGCAAATTGTTCAAAAACGTTTTAAACGTAAAGATAAATAAAAAAATTCATTTTTGATTTGTTTGCGATTACTATAACTTTCGAAGTTAAAAAATGATTTTAAAAACTAGCCGTTATTGTTGCACGTAGTCTAAAAAAATTGATACGTAACCATGTTCATGATTGCAACCGTCTTAGTATTACGAAATAAAAAAAAGATTATTAATCTGAAATGATGTTGCAAAGGCATATACTAGGATTAAGTTAAAAAAAAATTGATAAAATAGCGACTCAAAAGACGACCAATTTTTAAAAATACTAATGACTCAAAGTTGGAGAGAAGACTAGAACATGCCAGTAAGATGTCTATAATCGGTTCAGTAGAACCTCAGAAATCATAAATATCATATTGAAGAAGACAGTTTTGAGAGAAACACGTTCAAAATTTTGGAAAAGGAAGAATACAGGAGAAAATTATCAAAGTCAAATAGTTGGAGCTCGAAAAATAATTTAAATTAAAAAAAAATCCACTCATACACATATTCTTGAATAGTTAAGTTTTGAAAATGTGAAAAAAATTGAGAAAAAAACGATTTTTTTGAATTTGTACACTAGAATACCCCCTCAAAAAGGGATTGAGTACAACAGTTATTTATGTAATTTATTTCTATTCATCATATTCTGTACCAAAATGCTAGATTTGCCAGTTAGATCAGTTTAATTTAAACATACACATTTCTTTGTAGTACATTTCAAATTACTTTATCTCAATAAAATTACAATTTTACAGAATTCTAAAACAAAAACAACAACATTACTTGGACCTTTCCCCGACAATGAAACTAAAACAACGATCTAAAATCAAGTTACATCTAACTTTGTCCATAAAGTAGATCGGAATTATTCAAAATAAATTTGCATGGGTCCCCCACGTCCCCCATTAGAACTCACCTCGGTGCCTGTCCACGGACAAGGGTTTGGAGCAGAGCGAGAACATAACTGCCGAAAGTTGGAGCCTTCGGAAAATCTACAAATTATTCAGAACAGAATTCCAGATGAGCTGCGCAATCCGGGCAGGATTCGAATGGGCGATGAAGTTTGATTTGTGGCCTATGGAAAAGCACATCGGCCTGAAAATATAATGAATATTGTGAATGGATTTTTTAGAATAGGAATTAGAGTTCGAGGTATTTGAATAATATATTTATGGCGATGGTAAAGATGTGAGTGTATTGTTATTGTTACTAAAAAAATTGAGTTTATAACAAGTATGATACGAAAAAAACATTGCCGGACGCAATGATTATTAAAAAGTCAATCAATTACACTATACACAAAAAATCTAATAGATCGAAAGACCAGTTATAATTTATTATTAAAATGGCTATATAAGACCTGATATAAAATAAATTAAATAAAAAATTAAGTAATTTTAGTATTTAATATTATTTATTTGTTAGATGACATAAAAGGTTCAAGTGATGCATACAGAAAAAGTAAAAAATCTTTTAACTAGCTTAGAACCTATACTTGGGTATACCATAAAAGAAGATAGATGAATGAAATTTGTGAAGCTCGAACGCAAACCAAGCAAAAAAAATTTTTTTCACAAAAATCTGGTTTTGGTTCAAGTTAAATTTGTTAATCAACCTCATAATTATTAAAATTTCTACCATGCCAAGTTGACAACTATTTATAACAGTATTCAATTTATTATATAACACACAAAGGAAATCTGTAAGAGCTTGAACATACAGGAATAAGAATAGGGTAGTCTAAATTGACTTTCAGTAATTATACTGTCTAATAAACTAAATAGACTACATGAGAGCAAATAACAAGTATGTATAAAACAAACAACTATCGAACAATATTCAGTAAAATTCCCAGTTAATTCATAATTATATAAATATGCCTTTAAACTATTTTTCTAAACTTTGTCATCTGTCCCTTTTTACCCGATAGGCAAGATAAAAAGGAAAAGCCAGTAGACAAACTGATCCAATGTTTTAAATTTAATTATAAAAAGATTTTACAAAATAATAGCTTGGTTATTTTGTTATATTATTTAATTTTTTTTTTAAGATTTAAAAACATGTATTACATTGAATAGGTTCAATTTCAGTATATAATTAAAATAGGTGAGTTTATTACCCAAGGGTAGTTACATTTTTTACAAGAATCTCATTGTATATAAACTTGGTTTTGTATTTTGTTAGAAATATAAACCATCACAATTGCAAGAACTATTAATTTAATTTATCCCTTGCAAAATTGCCCTTTTAACTTAGTTTAAATATTTACTATTTTCTTATTTTTAACTTCTTGAAAATGAGGTTTGTTTTTGCCAAAAACTCCGATTTGCTAATTTTATGTTTTTTCGACGTTTCGAGCCATTCCGAATCAAATGAGACCTGTTTTGAAAAAAGTATGTGCGTAAGCCAATTTTCATTCTTTTGTGCACGTTTTCTCGTAAACGGCTTGACCGATTTTGAAAATTTAAAAGCCATTCAATGCACCTTTATGAGTCTATAAGAACCCGCGTTGAATAATTTTGCATAATGATCGGTCAAACCGTTTCTTTGTAATTGGCCGAAAAGCGAAAAAAATCGGTCCACGTTTGAGCCTATAATCCTGAAGCTGTTAAAATTCGAAAATTGTTCAACAAATATAAGTTCGAAAAGGCATTGATTAGTCCTTAATGAAGATCGACCTGGCTTTTTCTTCAACAATTCTGGTGAAATTTTTTATGATGACAGAGATCATGATCATTCTGAATATACTAAAATTTCACGGCCCTACGATAAGTGTTTTAATTTTAAAGCTTTATCACAGTCATAAAAAATATGTTTCAAAAATCGCTTTTGTAATGTGATGAGTCTGAATTTGAATTTTGTCAATGTTTCCTTAAAAACGGCTGAACCGATTTTGTAAAATTAAAAGCGATTGGATTAAATTCCATGAGAAGAATTCGCAATTAGTTTTGCGAGACGATCGGCCAAACCGGTTTTTGTTTGAAAGTTGCGTTGAAATACTTGCTATGAAGTTAATGGATTTATGCATTCTTCACAGATTTTTTTTTTTAATTGTTTGAACAGCAATCAGAACTCTTATATATTCTAAAAGTTGTTGGTTAAGACTTATGACTACTTATTTCATGAGAAGCAATCCATCGATTTACCATTCTCTTATGTGTGGGATATTTTTGATATTAGCTCTTATGTCTAATAGTTAACTTCACAGAAAATGATTAATAATTATTTAAATAGATTATAGTTAGTAGCTATAAAGATGGCACAGGTGTGCATCCAAGTGGAAAGAACTAATAATTGATATGAATAAATAATATCAAGGGCCAGTGTTTTTTTATAACAGATGCTTAATATTTCATAAAATAATATATTAAATTTCTTAAAGAACAATTTTCACCGTTTTTAAAGAATTTTATTACCTAAAGTTGATGCATTTAATATTCCTACAAATATTGTTTAAAATATATAAATACTTCAAGATTTGGAATTTTGATAGACTGCTCTATAATAAATATAATTGACAGATATTATAAATGTGTTTGAGAGGCATCAGTTGATAGTCGTAATGTTTAGTTTTTTAATGAAAGCAAAAACTAATTTCGAAATAAACAAATGGAAATTTTATATAAATATCCAAATCTCAATTTCGGTTGATTAAGTCAATTATTACAAAATGCCACATTCAATTAGTTAGATTGAAACTTACACATCACATATCAAAATTTAAATAATCATTTCACATATTCAATATACGAGAATTAATTAAATTTCCAAATAAATCGGCATCAGCAAATACATATTCTACATTGTATCAGAATCACTAAACAAGAAAATCCTTTGCAATTTGTTTTTCATGTGAAAAATCATGTCCTTTCGCATTCAAAGGTTTTATTTTATTATTTTATAAACCCGAAGAAATTGCTCACGTTTATGTCGATCTTCACAAAAAAGTTTTACGTTTCAAGCTACAATAGATATGAATTTTTGAAATGCAAGGCATTTTGGGATTCATAAAAAAGGTTACATTGTTTATTTGAAATATCTATTTGACATTTTTTACAGATTTAATTTAACATAATTAAAAAACGACGGTATAGAAGTTTGCGGTGCTGCAAACTTAGTAACTTCAGAGAGAAACAATTTGAAGTAAAACATTTAATATTCTGTTTTATATTTAGTATCTACATTTTATTGCAATTTTCTTCATTCTAGCGTGAAATGTTCTGAGATTCTTATACTAAAAATAAATAAGAAAATAGAATGTTCTGATGAAACTAATTTATTAAAGTCTAATCTTGTGAATTTTTGAAAAAAACTATTTTTTTTTTACTAGACGCACAGTTCATTCATAATATATATATATATATATATATATATATATATATATATATATATATACGAGGTGTGTTCAAAAAGTACCCGGAATTACTAATAATTAAATTTCGCGGGTCTGGAGTGTCTGATTGTCAAAATTTTTTTTTTATTGTGTTGGTATACATGCCCCTAAAGTATGATGAAATTTTCAGCTATATTCACTGTTTACTTTGTCTGTGGTAGTCGCTAAGGTTCGACGTGTTTTTCTGAGCTCGGCGATTTTTACAATGGAAGAATTGAAAAGTCAAAGAATTTGTATTAAATTTTGCGTAAAAAATGAAATAAAGTGTTGCAAAGTGCAAAAATTCACCAGATATGGCTCCGTGTGACTTTTTCCTATTCCCAAAGTTGAAGAGACCCATGAAAGGACGGCGGTTGTCCTCGATTGAAGAAAATCGCTGAGAGTGCTCAAGGACATATCAAAAAGTGAATATCAAGGGTGCTTCGAAAATTGGAAAAAACGCTGGCATAAGTGTATTATATCTGGGGGGGACTACTTTGAAGGGGACCACATTAATGTAGACGAATAAATAAATATTTTTTTGAAAAAACGAAAATTCCGGGTACTTTTTGAACAGAACCGTATATATATATATATATATATATATATATATATACACTGCGGATTAAAAAATATAATATACTCGTATATATAAAAATTAATATAAATATAGGGTAGAGGGTGACTCAATGGTCCGCGAATAAAAAATATCTGCTTTAATTTAGATATTTACTTAAATATAATTTATAAGTATTGATAATTTAATTGTTGTATAATATGCATTGTTATTTTTATCTTAGATTAAACAGATTTTTTAAAATAACTTCTATAAAACCTTACATGTTGTTGAAGTCAAAAGGACCAACTAAATATTTACACTGGCAAAGGTAAAAAAGGAATTTTGCATCAATTAAATTAACAGTTACTCTAGCTATGGTATAATTTTTTAATAATGAATCCATAAAAGTTGTATTTGATATTGGATAAATTGTGCAGCCTTTTTGGAAAATCACTTTTAAATAAAATGAGACATTGGGTATAATATATTAATAATTAGTAGTTGCCATCTTAATTTCAGAAGAGTCAAAAAAGGTGCAAATGTTTCTATAAATTTCTATGAATAACTAATTATAATAATTTTATAAGAATAGATAACAATAAGAAAAAATTTATGTTTTAATTAATTTTAGAACATGTTATTATACATTTTGATAATTTCTTATATTACTCAACTAGTCGTGTAAAATTATATAATAGTATACATCTAAAATAATAGTATAAATATCATAATTTTGATAATTTATCATCAATTATTTTACGGTACAAAAATTGAAAAAAAAATGGCAAAAATCACACATTTGTTAGATTTGGATACGGATTCTAGAGAACCTTATCCACGTTAGTCCCAGGGATAGGATGAATATTAATTTATAGTCTGAAATTTATATTATACGTGATGCAAACAAATTTCATTTTATTTGACAATAACAAACTTAAACAAATAAAATACAATAGAGTAACATCGATGAGAGAAAAAAATCAGATATTTCTGGAAAATTTGCAAAGAAAATATTAAGGGCTCATAGCAAGTTCCCAACAGTAGGTGATCAATGAAACCATTCCTAAATATAAGATCATATAACATGTAAACATGTTAGCAAGGTAAATAAGACCGAATACCAAATAGAATATAACACATTTATAAAAATCACTTGGTTATTTA